ACCGTCACATATTAAACCTCTCACCGCCATCTGTTTAGCCTCCAAGCAGGCTCTCGTGTTTGGTTTTCGCCCTACAGCTCCTTTCCCGGGGTACAGACACCTACTGTACAAGTATCATTGGCAGGCGCTCATAGTAATAGTTTCTCAAACCCCTGCGGTGAGGCAAAATAGTGAAGGAAAAAAAAAATCTTTAAAATCGTTTCCTCTAGGAGACTCTCTTAGGGTTACTGTAGGTGTGGTCACGTTGGACGAGCTCAAGATTTGGAAGAAAATCATCCTTGTCCCATTGTGTCTGGACCGACACCTTGGAGGGTTTTTCTACTTCCATTACAAGCTCTTCTTCAGTTTGGCACGAAGCTTCTGAAGTGCTAGGTTTGTTTTGCCGATTCAAGATTCGTCCAAAGTTCATTTTCACACGGGTACCTTCTTTGCACTTCAACAGAACAATTACCCATTTTTCCGTTTGCCCCTGGGTTGCGTTCATGTTATAAGTGATCATAGTGCCGTTGGATGATTTTTTTCCGTTGCAAATACTGGGTAATGTAAGCAATTCTTGAGTATCTGTTGGAAGTTGCTCGTGGTTGGTACTAACATCAATTCCGGTTTCTGTTTGAGCTTGCTCGTTAACAGTACCTAAGTTACTTTCGGTGCCTGTTGGGATCTGTTCTTTGCTGATGCTTACGTCATGTTCGTAAGATGTTCGGGTTTGGTCGGTATCAGTGCAAGTATCGCTGTTGTAAGCGCATGCGCAAGCAAACTCAGGCAGAAGAGACTGAATGCTAAATTTATTGTCCACATCTTCAAGCTCCATCGGGGACTCTCGCTTCACAACTTGTGTATTCGGTGGCGCTGATGGCTTCATGTAAAAGTGTGGTCCGAGTAATTCTTTCAACACCTACAAGAAAAAAGAAAAAAGAATACCTTAACAATGAAATGAAAGAGTGGGTGAGTGAGTGAGTGAGTGAGTGAGTGAACGAGTGAGTGAATTCACAAAAAAATGTTATTCATCAATTTGTCATCAAGTATCTAAGAAACATCTAGTTTTCATCGATTTCTGTCAATTGTTGGATTTAGAAATTAAGTATGACAGGAAAAAAAATACCGAAATTGTACAGTTTTCTGGGAGAAGTTTGACATGAATTACATGTCAGTTAAGAACATTTTCTTTTCAAAATGATCGACTGGCTAATATATAAGCTAATATTTATATAATAACAGCATAATCATTATCAGTATCATCATTATCGTCATCACTATTCTTTGTTGCATGTCTCAATTCTTCTTGTCACTACCAAGGGAGATGTACAGTAAAGAATATGGAGATCACAACAAAGATACTGATGTCGGGGTGTAAAGGATCTAGGGTGTAAAGGTAAAATATTTTGTACTTAAATTGCACCAAAAAAGCTGATACCTCACTTTTGTACAAATAATTATATGAGGAGCCTGTAGCTGGCATAAGCCTCATGGTTTCCCTATGCGTTTCCTTGCTACATTGCTAAACCTTCAGTTATATTACATTAATGTACATGTAATTCCTTTTATTTCTACTGAATGTATCATACATTACAAAATGGCAAAAATAAACAATACAATACAATACAAGGAGATATAGAGAGAAATTTCCAACAAACAAACTTAGGATAGTAAAACAGGACCTCCTACCTCCTCTTTTTCTTTTCTCTTTTTTCGCTCTTCACTTACAACTCTTTTCTTTATTTTGGACTTAAAATTGTTGTAACTGAATAATGTAGGAACTGATCCTTTTAACAGTGGTGGCTTTGGCCTCTTGCCCATTAGCTCTGCCTGTGATGCAAGAAAAAACAACAACGACAAAATCAGACAGCGGCTTCCCAATCACAAACGTTCAAGACTACACAAGGCTGTAACTTTAAAATTAGCCTAACAACTGCACTGCAAAGAAAATATTCTTAGTAATTGAATAAGTACTCCCTCGAATAACTGCTACTCCCAATTAAATACTGTACATGGGGGCAAAATTAAAAATAGAAGCCATGGGTAATGATGTAAATCCAAGGCTTAATTGAGTATCATAACACACAAGTTGTTAAACACAAGTCCCTAACAGGGATTGAAGATGTAGGCAATAAATTTATTTTGTGCCTTTAAAAGCACACACAACTCACAATTCCTCTATTCGCTCTGACGAAGGGCTAACACTCAAAATGTCTGCTTTTGTAATCGTTACAGTGGCCAATTTACCATTTCAACTTTGTTGATATATCCAAATTATTTCGTTACCCCCACTGATGCAGCCCCAGACAGTTTCTTTAGAAACTATCAGCCTTTAATAAATTTAGCAGTCATTTCCTTCTGCCTGGGTTTGCACAAAAAGAACCAATCCAGCACTTCAGAGGCTTCAACCCTAACCTTAACCCTGTTCTTCCATCATCAAAAAAGATGACGGAATTATTTTGTGCTTTTTTTTTTTGCTATAATGGCAACTGCTTTGCTCTTTTCTTAATTCTTATGTGAATGGTAAGGGCAATTATTGTTCCACTGGCAAGTGTAGATTACAAATCCACTTTTTTTGCTGGGTGCAAAACTTTGCAAGAGCTATAATCATTTTCTGTGGAAATCTTCATCAAAATTGAATAATTATGTACACCATAATTTTTCTTTTCACTGGAGTATTGATAGTGAAATCAAAGTAAAAGTAAAAAGAGATAACGTATTGTGTCCTAGAGAAAGATGCTGTTTGTCTTGTCATGAGTGCAGGACAAAAAAAACAATTGCGAGTCCCCACGAGAATCAAACCTCAGACCTTTGGATTCTATGCTGCAATGCTAACGGGGACTCAGAATGTTCTTTTTGTCCCTCGCTAGTGACAAGACAAACAACATATTTCTCTATTTCTTTACCAAGCTCAAAATTTACCATCTCTCTGATTCTAGGTGAAAATTTCAACATTATTTTGGATAACTTCAAATGAAGTCAAGATCCTTCATATCCAGTAGAATTAAGCCAAATTTTTTTTATTACATGTGACTTTTTTTTTTTTCAGCCTTTGGAACATTTGAATATTCATGTGCATGAAAGTAGAAAAAGGTTCCTTAAATTCTTAAGATTTAATTCCATTTTTCAATAATCGTCAAGTTGCTCTGCAATATGTTTTAACCCCTCCAAAGAACATTTTGATCATTTAACAACGTATACCTTGTATCCTGCCTGATTGTTCCACTCATAAACAGAAAGTAGAATGTCCTCCTCTTAGGATATATCAAAGTTCACACTGCAACCAGGTGGACAATCAAACATGGTTTGATGCTATTCTGGTTTAAAGATTTAATGAATGTAACCGAAACTACAATTTATCCATCCAATGGGGTCAATGAATTGTAATTTCCCCAATTACTTTCATGAAATCTTTAAACCAGAGTACTTAGCATCAAACCATGTCAGAATGTCCTCTTCTAGTGGAAATGTAAAAAAGTATGTTCCTGGATGGAATAAGTGTACCATGTTCCCCTGGTATGACTTTTGACCCTTTTACACCTTAACATCAGTATGCATATTCTCCATACTGTTCTTCAAACATTTACTGAGGTGATGACGGAGAGAATTTGACCTTAATGTGCGATCAGGGTGTGACAATGTAAGAGAAATTAGATGAGTTAAATTTAGAGGGCTAATGGTTTAATGCAGTTTACATCTTGCAGTCCAACTAACCTATGCTTGATTGCTGACATCATGATTCCAATTGGAGAGCTGCATGCAAAATATGCATTGAACACGCAGCCACTTAGGAGAATGTCATAATAGGCACGAGGAGGTTTCCCTACATTGTAGGTTCACCTGATTTACCCGTTCTCCCTCATCAATTAAGACATTTTAAGTTGCCCCAATCTGATATGCCCCCCACCCCGCCCCACCTTGACCAGTTTGCCCCCAAATATTTCAAAACATAGTTTGTATCTAAAAATTTCACTCTATTATTTCGATGAACACACGAATTAATTACGAAACCATAACAGAAACAATCAACCTGCATATACTGTATTACTCTGGCGCAACTGCATGCACTGTACACTGGAGCTCAAAGATGAGGAGGGCCAAAATACACATTACCAGTATTACAAAAGCCGCTATGTTATGGTGTAGTTTGAAAAATTCTACAGCTCCTTTTGCAGCGAATTGATCAGAATAATTTAATCGCCTTTCCTAAAACTGCGCACTAACTGCGCAAAAAACTTCGGCAGCATTTTAATCAAAACTCTCTTCCCTCCACTGTATTACATTTCCATAAGTTATAGTGAATGAAACGAGCTAACTATAAAGTGGAGTGGTCTGATTAACAACGAAAGTGCCGTTCTACATACCCTTATGTCTCTACCAAAGCACTCTGGTTCGAAGTGATCTGAGCAAACGTAGCTTCTGTCCAAGCGTGAAGGAAGCGTTGTTCTCTTCAAGTTCACCAACCACCTTTGCAAAAGTTGTTTGTCTTCGATTGGTAATCTATAAAACGAAACCCAGCGTGTTCTTTTCAACGTACTTACGTTGGAGCAGCCAATTGCAATACAAGCTGTGGGCATTTTAGCAAAGATAAGAGAATTCACCTTTGATAGCAAGAAAAAAAGTGCATGGAACGTTTGTCAGCACCGTGAACAGGGAGGTAAACATGACGTCATTAGTCTCGCTTCCAAGTTTTTAAAAAATGGCGGCCCGCACCCGGCACTAGTCACCAGTTGATATTTATCGCTTGGCGGGATGGATGGGGGAGTTTTTTTTTGAGAGGATTACATGGTTTGTATGGGAAATGAAGGGGGGTTAATCGTCCTCGACAAAGTATTAAGAAGAGTCTATGGGAAATTGACGGCCAGTTAACTGCCATTGTGGAGGGAATCGGAGCCTTAGAAGGGGATCTGGTAAGTTTTATCGTCACTCAACCAAAATCCTCTAGCCCCCCTTCCCACAACCCAAGTCAAAAAAAAAAAAAAAAAACATGGAAAGAAAACAAAAATTATGGTATTTTAATAGAAAGCTACGATCTTTAGAAGTCGTATTTAAGGGATGTATTTTGAATTATTTGTCCTAAAAAAAGCAGACTGAACAAACCACTGGTTGTGTAACTGATAAGTCTAACTGACCCTCCCCGGCTTAAATTCATTTACTTTGTACAGCGGTAGCTGCTAATACAAATTATCCTATCGTTTACCTGGGTTGAATAATTTCATGCACCGGGAACCCAAACAACTTTTAATAATGCAACTGTCTCCATCTTAGCCTCGGCATCTGCTATTAGCTAACGGATTGTTATCGTTTTGAATTAATCTCACGGCGAAAATGCAAAGGGTATTATTGGGTATTATCCTTTGCGTATTTACAGGTTGTTGGATAACGAACGTATCGCACGTGGCCGGAACACTTTCGAAAAAAGACAAGAAAAGTAAGAAAGGCTCCGAGGCGAGCAGAGCGGTGAGTAATGTTTTGTTATTGTTTGAGCGGGGCCACGCTAAATGAAATAGACCTGTAGGCGATCTTCTCTTCTAGAATCGAAGTACACTCGAAAAACAGACGTGGATATTGGAATTAGAGGAGTATCTCTGACGTGAACAATGTTGCGAGGTTTTGAATGAGATTCAGGGTGATCGATATCAAAAGATTTTGTGTATGCATTAGGGGCAAACGCTAGAGTTAATGTTTTATTTATTATCTGAGTTGTGCTCTTGATCCGGTTGAAAATCAAATAGACCCGTCTCAAAAAAAGGGAGTTCGGTAGTGAAAGATTTACTTTGGTCTTTTCTTAGTTTTTCCTCTAAATTTTATTTGGTGTTGGAAAATAAAAAGGTTATACTGGTATTTGATACTCAAACAAACTCAAAACTCAAACAAAGTGTTAATTAATGCAAAGTAAGTGAAAGGAAAACTGTTGAAGTCTGACATAACAGCTGCAACATGTTCTAAAATTACAGAATTGAGTATTATTCAAGATCTGTAATTACTCTGACTTGTAGGACAATCAAGCCAACTCAAATTCTCCTTAACCACAAACATGAAATGCTAGATCTGTAAATTCTCTCAATTAGTCTTATTCCAATTTGAAATAAAACGAAATCTTTACTTCACAATGTCTGATCTGCATTTCTCCTATTTGAGCTGCCTTACTGTCCTTGCCAAGCCTTAATCACTCCCAGAGTCTCATTTTAGTAATTCTCGATACTGTTTGTCATACACTTCTTATGCTGTGAGTTTGGAGAATTTGATATTGGATCAACTACTTGTTATAATCCCTTATTGATATGTTCCTGTATTTTCACTTGACTACTTGATATTGTGCCATTATTGTAAGGAAAAAAGTTTGTCTTGGTGACTCAAGGGAGTTTATGGTTTAAGAGAATTTGTAGTCATTTAATAGAAATATATCAGTGATGCTTTTCACCTGTTTGAAGAACACTAACTCTTTATATTGTAAAGAGTTATTGTATTCAGTGTGGGGGGGCAGTATATCATATCATTGTTATTTAATATATCTTGATGAGCTGATATGCAGATATAGTAACTAAAATATTATTATGAGATATTGAAAACTTGTAAGTTAAAGTCACATTTTCTTAAAAGAAAATACTGATAAAAAATCCTTTAATCAG